TTTTTTTTTTTTTTGTAATTTTATTGTGCAGAAATTGCGTACAAACTTTAATTAATAAATCATTCATTCATCTCTCTTATTTGGGGCATACTGCAGACAAAGTGAACATTGGTATTACAAGAATTTCAGGGATCAAAATTTAGTCATTTGTTAAATGATATATAGAACTGCTATACAATTAGAAGTATTTTGGAAAAGGAGCAAGGTGAAAAAATTGCTCCTTACGTTTTCAAAATAAATGATACTCAGACACCGGAAGCTTATCTAAGAAAAGAAAGAATTACCTACGAAATTTACCAAGAAGAAAGAAAAAAAATAAATGTTGTATTACAAAAAGCAGAAATCTTTAAAAGGAAAATAATTTTATTATTACAAAGAAAATTCTCCGTAATGCAAAATGTAATTAATGATCATCATATTGCATTGCTTATCAATAAAAATGTTGTTCGAGTTTTTTAACAAATTCTACTACATTCAAGGATATGTTTTATAAGTCTTTTGTTTTTCTCTCATTGACATTGGAACAAAGTAAATAATCTCGCATTGTATTGGAACATTATAAAAACATTTACCAATTCACTTAATTTTCAGGTAAAAAAATTCAAATAACAAATCCTTCTTAATAATCACCATTAAACAATTTTAAAAAACAAACAAATAATCAATAAATATTTATACAATATTTTCATCCATAATAACATTTTAAAAAAATGCATACTTTCAATAGTGAACTTTTTTATGGATTATTAATTGGACTCTTGCTTGGTTTCTTACTTCATTATAAAACTTACAAAAATCAATTCTATATATTATAAATCAAAAAAATGATCAAATAATCAATAAAATAGAACCAAGGAAAGCCATTTTAAAAATAAAATAAACCAACTTACTGGCCATGAAAAATATTCGCACGAAATCGAAATATATGGAGGATTTTAAGCAATTATTTGATAAAAAGACTGGATCGAATCCCGATTTTTAATTTGGTGAAATGGTCATTGAAATTCGCGAATTACTTGCAGAAGGAAAAAGGTGTTGCTGCTTCTACAACAAAAAAATTTTTTTTAATTGAAAGTCATGTGACCACTAATTTATCATTGGTCCAAATTATTTATAGAAACAATTAATTACGATCTAAATCAATAATTTTTAAAAATTCATTTTAAAAATTTTTTTTTTTTAAACAAAATGGCAACGATTGAAAAAATTGAAAAAGAATTATATGATGCGGAAGCAAACCATGAGAAGGCGGAAGCAAACCATCAGAGGTGTGAAGATAAGTTAAATGACTTGGAGGTGGAATTAATGGAAGGGAAATGGAGTGGTGAAGAAAAGACAAGGAGGGAGTATAGAAGAGATGAATTAAAGAAAGAAAAAGAGAGGCTGGAAGAAAAGAAGAAGTTTTGGAGAGGAGAGATCAGTAAGTGGAGTGGGAAGTTATGTGAAGTCAAAGGAAAAGGTAACAGTAATGAACAAATTGTGTAAAAAAATATACAAAAAATTATTTTCCATTCATTTCATTTCATTTAACTTGTTTGTTTGTTTGTTTGTTTGAGTGACCATTTGGTATACTGTATACAACTTTAATTAACTTATTTCTCTTTGGTTATTTTTATTCCATCTTCTAATTATTACCCATTTTGTCCTGAATCAACTCTGAATTACCTTGTTAGATACTACAACAAACAAAGGTATGTACTTGAGTTATATATATCTACTTGTTTTTATATATTCAATTTGTTTTTTTTTTATTCACAATCAATTATGTTCTTGTAGCTCCTGAGAGGATTATTGAATTTTGGCAAGCAATTCAAGATGCAGAAATCTTTTTTTCTCTACCACCAAATTGGAATGAAAATGATTTGGCCTTGGGACCATTTTTTCTATTTATGACTATCAAGGGTAATTATGTCATTTTAAACAAAAATATAATGATAAATTCAAATGGCCAATTGATTTATAATAATGGGAAACGAGTAATGAACCAAGACACAAATGAACCTCTTCAATCACTCCCTTTTAATTCTACCTTAAAAGTTACAGTGACAATAAATATGGAGGAAAACATGGAGGAAGAGGAACTTCCAGATAATTGGGGAGGAATGCTCCATTTGCCAAAGTCCACATTTTGCATTGTCTCAAATAACATATCAATGATTTTAATATGAAAATCATATTTGCAAATGATTGAACAACTTGAAAAGGATGCCAAAAATGGTTGTACAATAGTAGGCACACCTGGCATAGGCAAAACTTTCTTTGGTCTATATTTTCTTTTCTATATTACCCACCATTACCCTGATTCTAAATTATTTGGGAAACTATTGACAGCATGTGGTATGTGTTTTTTCCAGATTTACATGTGGTAAGTGAAATTCAGAGAATGAGTTCTTGTTTTCATGACACATTATATGATGAGAAGGCTTTTTATCTTGTTGACTCAATAGTTCCCATGAATATTGTTATTGCATATACACTTTTACTTCATCACCAAGGCAGGAAAGATGGAATGAATACATTAAATGAGAAGGTGTCACTCTTATTATGCACCAATTTGGACACCAGATGAAATCTGGATACTATGGAGAGAACAATGGAAAGAGAAAACGACAGCTGATTGTGTTCAGGAATTGATGGACTGGTGGGGTCCAATTAAGGTTGCTTGCCAAAACTCATCCAGAAATCAGCAGAGTTTCGCATTTTGAGTTTCACCATTTCAACAGGATTTTTGATAAGATTTAATATAGTTTTGCCATGGTTTCAGCAATTACTAAGGAGGTTTTGCCCACAACCTTAGGTCCAATATCATGAACAATTTTTGATAAAAGAGATAATGAGCCAAACTTTGAGGAATTGACTTCTAGATATAACTTAAAATCCCTTGTAGAAAATTTGACATTTAAAAATATGGGCTTGTAATATGATGATTTTAATGGTAGAATAATTCATATCCATCCATTAAAAACAAATTTTAAAGAAAAAATTTTGAAGTTTGCTTCTGACAAAATAGCTAAAGAGCTATATCACAAATATACATGCAGCCCAAAGTATTTTGACACTGTCATAAAGGGGGCTACACATGTAGTAAAGGGGTGTTACACTTATGTTTTTAATAGTGAATGCCGTAATTAATTTCTACTTTCTACCATCAAAATTGGAATAATTTTGGCCATCAAAATCACCAAACCAATTTGGGCTGCATGTATACTCATGAGCATAGTAAAGTACATGTTTTAAAAAAGAATAGAACTCTACAACAAATAATTTTTTGAGAAAATCTCTCTATTACATTAAAACTAAAGACATATTCTATCAACTAATAGAGCTATTTTTTAAAAGGTAGGACAGAAAGTGACTTCTATACTTTTAAAATTTGCCCAAAATTTAGTAGGTCTTTAGACCAAGCCAACTATAGGGGGTTCCATACATAAATAATTAGACAGCATAGTGGACATTCGTTTTATCACATGTGACAAAATCGATTGTTGATCTTTTTTATGTTGTAAAACAGACGATTTCAATTGAGTTTAGAATAGACAAAAACCATTTTATGAAACACATCTTTTTTTGCATTGATATATTGCTTTAATTTTTCTTTACAGTTTGGTATAACACAATCAAATTGATCAAATTGATCTTGGCAGGTTATATTAGAAGCGAAAGTTTAAGGTTTTTGTGATCTATTTATGTCAGAATTGCAACCTTTATTATTATTATTTATTTTATTTTTTAATGTAAAGAATGAATTATTATATACAACATATTTTTTTATTAATAAAACGTTATTATACTGCATGTAAAGACTTCTTTTATATTCTCATTATACTTTAAAGAAAGAAAGATTTTATTTTTATATATTTACTTGTATATATTCAAATTTTTCTAATATGGGTTAAGGATCATATGAGTAGGTTGTATCATATTTTTTTCACAATGAGATAATATTTAGAAGAAGAGAAAAGATCAAAGATTGTTTAATTAAGAATTTATTAAACAATAATGAGATATACAGCACTTGAACCGAGATCAAGATTTTATGGGGAGATAATATAAAGTAATGTAAACATGTTTAAAATTGATTCTTGTATAAATAGGTCATTTATATTTACATTTTATTTACGTCCACCAATTTATTATTTAAATAGGAAAATGTATATTGTATAATAGATGCTAATTCAGTAATGAATATAAAACAACAATTTGGGGGGATTTCTGGAAAAATGTGGTTAGGGACCTCTCTGACCAAAATTGAGTTTTTTGCATAATATACATCTATATTGTAAGGATTACAACTGGTGAGAAAATCAGACCATGTTTGCTTAGCATAATAATGAGATACAAGACTTTGAAAATTTAATATAGATATCAAAAACACGTGTAACATAATTTTGAGGGACTGTTACTCAAAAAGTTTATTATGTTCCTAACCATATTTTGCTGGAAATCACCCCATTTATGAAGTCGAAGAAGAGTAATGCTAGTCCAACTTTGAGCCAACAATTTGGAATCACATGATTGACACCACTGGTAATTAGTATTACGTCTTGCACAAACAGAACAAATCCCATATTCTTCCTTTCTTCCATCTTCAAACCCTTTAGTAATATCTTAAATATTTTTTTTTCATTATAAAAATTAAAAATAAAATAGTATTTATTATAAATAAAAATTATTTTGTATATAATATTTTACCTTCTTCGACTGTTAGTTCTAAAAAATAAATCATATGTTAAATTATTTTGTATTGAAAAAGTTAATTTATAATATAATAAAATATTTACATCTGATATTACAAAGAAATAAAAAATAAATATAATTTGTCTTGCAAAATTTTTAATATAATACTAACTTACCCCCTGATTATTATAAAAAAAAGTAAATTTATGATGTTTTAAAATTTATTGTGTTGTGAATATAAAAGTAAACTTATAATATAATACTTACTCCCTGGTTACCATAAAAAAAGAAAAGTTAAATTTATTTAATTAAATGATGTTATAATAAAATTTATTTTGTAAAAGTAATTTATAATATAATACTTACAAGCTGGTTATTATAAAGATAAAGTTTAATTTATTTTAATTAGACAATACTTTAATAAAATTTATTTTGTAAACCTGTTAATACTTACCATCTGGTTATTATAAGTAGTAGAAGTTATATTTATTTAATTAAATGATGTTTTATTTTGTAAATTTATAATATATAACACTTACCAGCTGGTTATAAAAATCAAATTTATTAATTAGATGATGTTTTAATAAAAATTGCTTGCATTTTAAAAGTTAATTTATAGCATAATACTCACCCTCTGATTATTTAAAGAAATAAAAATAAATTTATTCAGATGATGCTCAAAAAAATTATTTTGTATTATAAAAGTTAATTTATAGTTTTAATACTTACCAACTAGTTGTTATAAATAAATAAAAATAAAATTATTAATTAGATGATGTTTTAATAAAAATTATTTGGCGTGGTAAAAGTGTATAATACTTACTCCCTGGTTATTATTATAAAGAAATAAAAAATAAAATTATATTTTAATAAAAATTATTTTATAAAAAAAAGCAAATTCATAATATAATAGTTACCATCTGGTCATTATAAAGAAAATTTATTTAATTAGATGATATTTAATGAGAGTTATTTTGTGTTGTAAAAGTTATAATAAAATAAAATACTTGCCCACTAATTATTATAAAGAAATAAAACATAAATTTGCCTATTAGAAAAATTATTTTGTAAAAGTTATAATATATAAATACTTACTATCTGGTTATTATAAAGAAATAAAAAATAAATTTATTTAATTAGATGATGTTTAAGTCAATAAAATTTATTTTATGTTGTAAAAATTATAATACTTGCACCCTGATCATTTAAAGAAATAAAATTGTTTATTTAATTAGATGATGTTTTAAATCAATAAAATTTATTTTATGTTGTAAAAGTTACAATACTCGCCTCCTGGTTATTTAAAGAAATAAAAATAAATTTATTTAATTAGATGATATTCCAATAGATTTATTTTGTGATGTAAATTTATAACAAAATACTTACTCTCTGGTTATTATAAAAAAAAGAAAGATCAAATTTATTTAATTAGATGATATTTTAATAAAATTCATTTGTGTTTTAAAAATAAATTTATGATATAATACTTACTAGCTGGTTATTATAAAAAAAATAAAAGTTAAATTTATTTAATATGATGTTTTAATAAAAATTTATTTTGTAAATTTTGTAATATAACATTTACCAGCTGGTTGTTATAAAAAATTTATTTATTTAATTATATGATGTTTTAATAAAAATTATTTGTGATGTAAAAGTAAATTTATAATACAATACTTACCAGCTGGTTAATATAAAAAATAAAATTTATTTAATTAGATGATGTTATGAAAATTATTTTGTGTTGTAAATTTATAATATAATACTTACTTCCTGGTTATTATAAAGAAATTTATCAATTAGATGATGTTTAATAAAAATTATTTGTTGTAAAAAGTTAATTTTTAACATTTACCTTTATAGAATTTAGCTAAATATTATTTTATTACAAAGCAAAAAACCATTAAATTATCTTGTTACTCTATATTTTTAAAAAAGTTAAGAAAAAAAATACCTTCATTCATTTTTTGTAAAGAAAATATCAAATATAAGATTGAAGGAGGAATGATTTTCACAATCAATTATGATTGATCAGCCAATCAATTTGGATAAAAAATTATTAAAAAAAGAACATGATCAACAGCACTGCACAAAAGGAACATAGCGGGTATTCGATTTTACGAAATGATCAGCATTAGTTTCACAACATATAAATCATATATATACAAATGACCTGTCATCTGACTTCGGGTGAATTCGCTGCCACAGAAATCAATTCGCTGACAATATAAACAGGA